GTTCTAACATAAAATAATATTGATTATCATATTATAATGCTTGACTGACTGATGTTAAGAGTGTACTTTCAGATATTAAAAAAAAAAATTTATTTATCAGTCTGGCGAGTAAACTAAAAAAATTACTAGCCAATGGCGATTCAATTGCCAAGGTGTCTGTAGAGGGTTGCGTGAAGATATCTTCAAAAAAAAAAAAACTATCGGTGATATCACAAGGATTTGGCATTTCCAATTAATGTAGCCTATTAAATTATTATTATTCTTATTATTATGGTACTTTTATTATTACATTTATAGGTCTACTATAATTCATTTGCCCCGCAATAATTTCATAGCGCATTACCACACAACTGACGCGCGGATAATAAAAGATTAAATTAGATTACTCCTCACTGAAAATTATTTAAAACATTTAGATATATTACACAATGATAGGCCTATAATTAAAATTCTCAACCGTCTAAAGTAGGCCTAGCCTATGTCCGAACACTGTAATAATCAGTAATCAATTAAAATAAGACCTTTATTTCAGACAAGGAAATTCCAAAAACAACTCGTTTAATACGAAATACTTAAATACTGTTGTTGTTGTTTTTTCACTATGGGCTATATCAGCCATAAGATATATTTTTTAGAAAATAAAGTCAATACCCAATACCCAATCTCTCGTCTCCTCTGAGTGAATATGACAACGTTAATGCAGCGACAGCAGAAATTCGGCCCGACTCAAAAAAAAAAAGTCGCACGAGTCAGAATTCGGCTCAAAATCGGGTCGAAAATGACAGTGTATGCCTGGCCTTATGTAATAAAAGATAGACTATGCCCTTGCAATTTATGCTATTGTCTGAAGATATGAGGAAGATACATAGAAGGCCCATCTTCATATTTTACGTTTGTTTTATGACCAACAACCAATAGCATTATCATTTTAAATACAAATGTATTGTTTTTATTTGTAAAATAGTTTGTAATAAAGAAATAAAAATAAGCCCATATACTGTAATATCAGCTTCCAAAATCAGCTTAATGAGATGCAGACAGTGGCCAATACACAGTGATCAGACCGAAAGTGGGTGGGCTTAAACCAGAAAGTCGTTCATTTACACGAGAAGCTCATTTTTTTTAAGATTTATTTTTGGTGTTTTATGCCTTTATTTTGATAGGACAGTAGCTAGACAGGAAGCGAAGTGGGACAGAGAGAGGGGGACGCAATCGGGAAAGTTCTGCAAGCCAGAACTCGAACTTGGGATGCCCAAAGCCGCAATGGCGCTATATGTCGGTGCGCTGCCCACGAGGCTATTGGCACCGACCATGAGAACTTAAATGTAATTCTGTTCCTTTCATAGTTTTAATTTAATATGCATTGTATAACTCCTAAAATTATGCTTTTATATTTAAATACCTTCTAATTGAAACAAACTAATTGTCAAATAAAAGGGAGAAAATATATATATTTTTCAGAGGAACTTTGTTTACAGAGTTACAATCACCCACAACCTCAAATAAAAGGACTCGATATAAAATAGCTGATTAGAGAACATGGAAGTTTAAAAAAAAAACATTCAGTGGTTGAAAATTGCTAAAACAACTTTTACTATAAATATTAAAATGGCAAATCTAAGTTATCTAAGAATATATAAATTACGGTCATACACATACGTATTACATGTTCAGTCTATAGGTGCGCAGGCATGTAGTGTTTCTTTACGAAGTGACATCACCAACTACTGGCCTGGCATGCATAATACAGTGATTTTAGTCATTTTCATGGATCTGTGTAAATGGGGATAGGGAAAACTTTTCAAAAACACAAAGTAAAAACTTTTGTTTTTAGTACATCATTGTTGTGTACCATCAGTATCTTAGTTGAGAGACTCACAGAGAAGACAACATGGCTCATTTCATTCATATAGTTTAAACCAGGGGTGCCCAAACTCGGTCCTGGAGGGCCAATGTCCAGCAGAGTTTAGCTCCAACTTGCCTCAACACACCTGCCAGGAAGTTTCTAGTATGCCTAGAAAGAGCTTGATTAGCTGGTTCAGGTGTGTCTAATTGGGGTTGGAACTAAACTCTGCAGGACACCGGCCCTCCAGGACCGAGTTTGGGCACCCCTGGTTTAAACGCATTCACTTAGCACACTCATTATTGCATAGTAGCCTAATTTTAGAAGTTAATGTATAATATTGTTCTATTCCCTTGCTCACCTGTTATCTAGAAAACATGAGGAGTGACTGTGTCTGCAAATACGTTATTCAGAAAGGCACAGACAGTAAAATGTAGGTCGGTGCCCGTGTGTGGTTGGCACACACAATCTGTGTTACAATGTTTTCTATTCACTTGTCAACTTTTTTTCCTGTATGACCAAGCCTTATTTGTACATAGTAGCCATGGAGGACATTCTTTGTTTGCGGTCTATACAGGGAGGACACGATTGTTGTTAATAGAAGATAAACAGGTTTCTGTGAGCGCATTTGTTCAACCGAGGGTTATGGCAGGATTTCTTGTTTGTTTGTTTTCGATTTGTACTCTTTGTCTTTGGAAGCACTGGATTGTGTTTGCCTTTGTATTAGAGTTTGTGTGTGTGTGTGTGTGTATGTGTGTTACTTGCCCATAAATAGATTAGTCTGTGTGTGTGTGTGTGTGTGTGTGTGTGTGTGTGTCACTGTGACAAGGTTCCAACAGCTGCAGCCATCTTTTCCTTGTAGCCTCCCCTCTCCTCCGATCAATGCAGCTCCTGTCTTAGCCTTCACCTCCAAGAACACACATTAATTTCACACACACATATACACCCTGGAACAAACTGCTGACTTTTCTGCAGAGCCACAGCACACACACATTATTTATGGCCTGATGTGACAGATGGATCAATAGTTTAATACCAGTGTTTGTGGAGTGCAGTGCCTCTGTCTATCAGATATCCAGACAGGCTACTAAACGCACACACACGCAGAAGTAGCACTTAAACACGCACATTTGAGTGCCATCTGTTTGGTGGACAGACCGTTGCAAAAAAATCATTGACACTCACTGACCCTCGAACATGACAACCACATAAGCAGCCCATCAGTTGGCTTTAGCAGCAACCGCCCAAGAGCTGTGCTAGATGCCTGACCCAAAAAAAAAAAAAAGAAAAAAATCTGTCTAGAGACAGAGCTCTTTGAAGAACTCTAACCAAACAGAATGTGATCTCAGACATGGTTACTGGTCATTCATTATAACAGAGACAGATGCTCCAGACTTTCATCATTGATGACTTCTGATTATGTAAAATAACCAGATGACACAATTAGTTAAGTGGGACATCACATTTGAAAGATAAATTCAGTTCATGATTCACAACAGATTTTTTTGCTTGTGGGGTGGACGAGTTACATGTGAACTCCAAAAAAAGCTTATTTTTTTCCTCTAGTAAAAATGGATCAATGTCCAAGAAGATAAATGTATTTAAGAAAAGTAAAATGTCAAAAAATATATCCAAGAATCACTTACTCATGCCATGCTCATGATGATCCAAACCCATATGAATTTCTTTCTTCCATGGAGCACAAATGCAAAAACAAAAACAAAAAAATGCATTGGTCGCTCTTTTCCATAAAGTAACAATAATGGAAACTGGAACTTGGAAAAACACAATGAAAGTATTGCAAAAGCAGTCCATAAGATCCATGTGCTATATTGCAAGACAGAAATGAAATTTTTGGCTGACCTGTAAAGTGATATGCAGTTTGATTTACCACGGAAGTCTGAGCTGAAAAT